ATCTTAAAAACATTCACCTTCCTTTTTTTTCTCTCCGTTTGATGAGCATAGCTGTCTCATGGGTGGTACTTCAGAAAAATAAAGTAAGTATCTTGATCAAGACTGAATAATGCAAACCAATATTTTATTTTTCTCTTTTTCCTCTCACCAGAATTAGGTAACAAGTTGTCAATCTTACTCGTAGTATGAGATAACTGGATTAATTTAAATAAAGATTCAAACGAACACATTTCCCAAGGTTCTCCTCTGTGTTTTCACAGTCCCTGTGGACACTCCATGTGACCTTTATTAAACTGTATTTGCAGACATTTCACATTCACAGAGGAGAGCGTTAAGAGTTTCATAATTCTAGAGATATTGGCCTTGGGGATTTTGAATTATGCACAATAGAACAGTGAGAAAGCACTCTTAAGGTTTGCCCGTGGAACAAATGATAAGCAGCAGACTGCATAGCAACAAACAATGCACAGTAATATTGGCATTACTTGTATAGTAATGAACACAATGGATGACATAGACCAGGAGATTAGGTCACTGCTTAAAGCAACATGGAAGAATGACAGGTGACTGCTTGATGACATTTTGTGTCTCCTCATCTCTTAGCTAATTCTGATCACATAATTTAGTGTATTTTAATAATGTAGGTGTTAATTCTACCCACATAAATTACATAAATAAAATGTAAAATTCTCATATACTATACAAGGCAAGCTACATATTATTCAGGAGTGGATTCAAGAAGATGGTGGGTTTCTAAACTCCACCGCTGGAACCTGACTCCTCCTATATTCTATAAATCCCGCCTTAGGACCTGAGCTAAAATATAATTGGTTACATAGCAAGTGCTTTAAATACCGGCATATAATGGGCTATATATTATAACCAAGTATAAAAAAATCGCAGTACAAAATAAATAAGAAAAAATAAAAAGGTTCTACCTGGACTTATATGGGGTCATCTTAACACCCTTTTATCTTTTTACACTAGTGCAAATTGCCTGGAAAGTTCCATGTAAATTATTTTGCACAGAAACTACTAATACCAGCAAGGCAAACTTCATGCATTATGAAGTCTACTTCACAAGAAATAGAATAGACTATGATTCACAGGTGGAATACTAATGCACTTGACCCTATGGAGATGAAAAAGTCTTGTAGGGCGCCAAAGAGAGAGCGAGAAAGATAGTAAGAATAAGAGAGATAGAGAGAGACCATAGACAAATGGAGAGACTTAAGACAGAAGCAGGATAATAAGGCTGGAGAGGATGAATGAAATAAAATGAACTCATCTCATAGATGACAAAATTTAGGTTTGTTTTATAAGTTAAAAAGTAAACGTGTGGGGCACTGCCTGTCATTCAACATGTTCAGACTTTTTTTCTTGCTGCTCTCCAGGGCTCAAGCTAAAAACAAACTTTTGAGGCATATCACTGAATATCACTGTTGATAGTGATCCTGAACTAGAAGCCAATGCCTGTGAAGCACAGCCTATCCTGTTTTTTCCCACATTAAGGTTTGAGGCCTACCGAGATAGAAGCGTGGACTGTTTGGGAAAGCGGACGGTCTCCCAACATGAGGTGCAACTGTTTTTTTTTTTTTTTAAATATGAGTTTTTTTGGTTGTAGTGGAAATAGAGGCAGACATAAGTATCAGACATAGAGACTCGCAGGTCTCCAGCATATCTTTTTTCAGGTATACATACGTTAAACCTACTTGACTATGTGGGCGCGCAGGCACCAGTACCGTTAGGTTGATTGTTGGCTCGCAGGCCACATTACACTATTAGCATTTTCTTGGTAGCATCGATTCCCAGCCTGGGACAAGTGTTTGGGAGAACTAAGTGTTCTTATAGTGAATCTGGGTTATTTGGTTTAGGGTTCTGTATGTCATGTATCTCCCTTCCAGTGTGGCACTACGTTCTATGTATCGTACCATCGTTGTCTCCAGTATTGCGGCATGTCCGCCCTCCTGCTCCCCTTGACCATGTCATATGGTTGCTCTCCAGCAGAGTTGGTCGATTATCTCGGACTTGCTTCCGTGTTTGTGTGTCTATTCTCAGGAGTCTATTCATCTTCATGTGTGTGAACCCAGTGGTTCACCCTCCTTTCAAGAGTCTCCTTCTCTATGTTTCTGTCTCTTAGTGGTCTATGCACACAGTTGTCAGTGCTGACATCCGGTTTGTGTCAATGTCGGAGTACTGGGGTCCAATATAGTGTAGTTTCATGTGTGTAGGATCTTGACTTATGGTTGTGTGTCATCTCTTTTAGGTACCTAATTCTCAGATGTTGACTTTGATTACGCGATCTACGGTTCTGTCTGGCTTACATGTGTTCTGGTTTTTCGGTTAGTGTGTGTCTGTGAGTGTCTATTCATAATACAATACTTTTGCCATTCGCTTATTGTGTTTCCCTTACTTTCTATGCTACCTTAAGTGTCTCATACTAGGTGCTATTGTCTTGTCTTTCCCTTTCCAGGGGTCTTTCCCCTTTGTGTACCTCTTTTGCCACTATGAGTCCTTTTTTGTGTCACCCCCATCAGGGTTTTCCTTCATATGTGACGTATGTGGTTATGTCGTCCCTTTGCGGTACTGGGATATGTGCGGGTGGTTCAAGTGGGGGGGTGGGTAAGGGTAGGTACATGTTGGGTGGGGGGGAAGGCTGGTTGCCCTCCCAGCATGCCCGGGTCCCTCGCCCACTTTCCCTCTCACTCTTTCCAGTTGTGTGTCCCTCTATCTGCTGTTGCCTAAGCGATGTATAGTATCCAAGGCGTCCAGAGCTCCGTGTGTTTATCACCTCTCCCTAGTAGGTCTGCTATTTTGGCTTTTGCTATTCGAATGTCCTCTACTTTGCGTTTCCATTGTTCCATCGTAGGTGGGTTCTCGTTCTTCCAGTGTAGTGGAATTAGGGATTTAGCCGCATTCAGCATGTGTTTCAGGATTGATTTTTTATAGATGGATATGGGCTGTTCCGTATGGTGTATGATTGCAATCTCCATTGTCAGTCGCGGAGGGCCATCTAATATGCTTCTGATTTCCCTTTCGATGCTCTCCCAGTATGGTCTTATTCTATTGCAGTCCAGATGTGTCTCAAGGATCCTGGTCCTTCCCCACATCTCCAACAGGTATTTGGAACTGTTGAGATGTACTGGCTGAGCAGGGAGGATGTGCGATACCAGTGCATCAACAGCTTATAGTTTACTTCTTGATAATGGGAGCTATAGGAGCTCTTGTGTTGTAATATCAAGATTTTCTCCCATTTGCTTTCCGTGAAGGTCCCTTCCGTCCAGTCCTCCCACTGTCTTTTGTATAAGTTGTTGTTTGGTCTGTGTCCCGTCAGTAGGCTTTGGTAAATTGTGGAGACCCTACCGTCTGCTTCCGGTGTTTGTGAGCACAGCGTCTCGTACCACGTTAGATCTCTGTGGATTTTAGCCCTGTGTGGTAAATTGTGGTAGTAGTGGTTGAGTTGGGCGTAATGAAATTGGTGCATGAGCGTGTGCGGCCTTACCTCCAGTATTTCTCTCAGTGGTTTCACTCCTGTATTATTGAGTACCGTTTAAATAGGTATGTATCCATCATGGCTGTCCACCAGCCAAGCCATCGATGGAAGGCTATCGCCCAGGTTTGGGTTGTATGTGATGGGTATTAGCGGGCTAGGTTTGGGCAAAATCTGCTGGTCTTTCCTCAACGTGGTCCAATGTTTTAGTGTTTGCGCGATAGGAGAGTCCTCTCCTAGTGTCGTCTGTGCATCTGTTTCCTTGTGCCACATTAGTGTGTGTAATCTTTTATCCGTGGAGTCTCTCCAAAGTGTAACCCATCGTTTGTGGGGTGAGTCTGTGTGTAGTTCCCTAAGTCTTTGTAGCATCGTTGCTTGGTGGTATCGTCTGATATTGGCTAGAGCCAGTCCTCCCCATCTTCTCAGCAGGCAGAGTTTGTCGTAGCTGATTCACGCCCTCTCTCCCCTCCATACATATTGTATAAGCCCTGTTTTGAGCGTCGTAAAGAATGTTTGCGGTATTGTTTGTGGTGCGGCGTGGAAGAGGTATAAGATCCTGGGTAGGACATTCATCTTTATCACCACTATCCTCCCCAGCCAGGATATTTGGGTATAATTCCATCTCTTGAGGTCTCCGAGGATGCTGGTCAGGAGGGGCATGTGGTTGTGAGCATAGATGTCCTTTGCTGCCCTTGTGATCCATAGTCCAAGGTATCTCATTCGAGCTATGCACCAGTGAAACGGGAACTGCCTCCTCAGCTGTGTGCTTTCGTTTTTGGGTACGGTGACATTAAGGATTTCGTATTTGGTTAGGTTCAATTTTCATCCTGATAGGCGTCCATAGTGTTCGAATTTGGTCATTAGTTCCGTGGTTGAGTCCAGTGGGTTCTCGAGGAAGAACAGCATGTCATCCGTGTACACAGCTACTTTGTGTTCTTGGGTTTTGTACCATAATCCTGTGATCCTCTGGTTTCTCCTGATGCGATCTAATAGTGGTTCTAGGGTGAGGGCAAATACAAGTGGTGACAGTGGGCATCCTTGCCTTGTGCCATTCTTGATGTCAAAGCTTTCGGTAAAAGCCCCGTTCACTCTGACTCTGGCGGTCGGTTGGCTTTAGAGTGCGGTGATCCATGCGAGCATGCCATCACCTATACCCGTCTCACGTATTGTCTCCGTCATGAAGTTCCAGTCTACTCTATCGAAGGCTTTTTCAGTGTCTGTCAAAAGTAGTAGTAGCTTCATCCCCAGTTGTTTGGCAAGGTGTTGTATCGCAAATAATCGCAGGGTGCAGTCTCTGGCCTCTTGTCCCTGTATAAAGCCTGTCTGGTCTGTAGGTCTGAAGTCTCATCGCCAGTACTTTGGAGAATAGTTTGACGTCTGCGTTAAGGAGAGAGATTGGACAGTAGTTACCGACCTGTTCAGTATTTTTACCCGGTTTAGGAATTACCGTGATGGTTGCCGCCACGGTTTCCCTGCGGAAGGTGTTTCCGTTGCGTATGCTATTTAACGCCTTGGTAATGGGTGCATCCAGTTCTTCAGCTCCCGCCGGTGTGAGTGCATCTGGGTGAAAGTCTCTCAGGTAGTCCATCGTGTCCGTCTGCCTCGCGGCCTGAGGTAGTCCGGTTTCCTCCTCACGTGCATTGTATAATCGTGTGTAGAACCGTCTAAATTCAGTTGCGATGTCTTCCGGAAATTGTGTCATTGTGCCATGTGCAGTGCGCAGGGTGTGGACTTGTGCTCTGCCCTGTGCGCCTCTCAGCATCCATGCGAGGAGTTTGCCTCCTTTATTGGCATGCATATAGAAGAATGCACGCGATCGTTGTATGGTGGATAACATCCTCCTTACCTTACGTGCCATGCACCTTGTTTCTTGCTATTGTTTTGTATTGTTATTGCGTTGTTACTCGTGACAATGATATGGTGATGCTTAGCTTCATCTCATTCCAGAGGTTATATCCAATGTGAAACTCCACATATATTATTATTAGCACTCACCATGTCTAGAACTTTTTATTTAATTTTTTTATCTCTGGCTGTGTGTCTTGCCTATATTGCACCGAAAGTCTTGTATGCATACTAGCATTCATTATTAATGTTTTTTCATGTCTGCTTGGATACTAAGACACCACAGTTTTGCAGCTTCATACCCACTACCTAGGCATTGCAGTTTTGCTGAAACATGCTTTACGCTATTTTTATTTTATTTTTACTATTTTAAAATGAGGAGGACTTAACCAGGCGTTTTACTTCATGTGACTTTGCAACTACTGTTTGCCTGTTATTATATGGTATACATTTAGCTGATATTGTACTCGCCTATTATAACTCCATTTCATTTGTATTGTGTATTTTTCTTCATCCTCAATAAAAAAAAGAGATTGGATAAAAAAAGTAAACGCAATATTTAGCAACAGAGTAAAAGCATAGTAAAGTTAGAAGCAGTGTGTACAGATAATCTGTGTGCCATCTGCTTAGATTTCTCCCCACCTAAAGTGCTGCCAGGTGATGCCAAGAACCAATTTGAAACATTCAAGTTGTTACTTGCTTTTTATTTTGAACTGAGAATGCTAGCATTTTTGGTACACATAGGTCAGTTTAATAGAGTGCAGTTCGCTATTTTTTGGTGTTGCTGCAAAATTCCACAATATATACTATATAGTAACTGAAAGAGCTGGTGCTTAAAAAAAGCCTTCAACCAGAGCAAAACTGCTCCAGAGGAAATCATCAAAATCAAAATACTTTTAGTTTCACAGGAAGAAAAAAAGACACATTTCTGGCATAAATACAACACATTGTATATTAAGTGAGCTTCGCCAGTTAAATTAGCCCTTTTGTGGTGAAACAGAGATCTGTTGAGTGCATTGCACTCCTCTATGTCACTAAAACGAAAACACACATAGTAAATAAACATATTAAAATAAAACATGCTTACCAGGTTTCTCACACATTTTAGAAATAAAAAATTGTGGACTAGCTGCGTATAGACAAGACAGCACTGTTCTCTGTTCCTGAAAAGGTCAGACCTCACATACCATAACATGTACCAAATGTATTTTATTTTATTATTATTATGTTGGCAAATGTATAGCTGTAAACAGTTTGCTGCTCTATTTAAAGGGACACTATAGGCACCCAGACCACTTCAGATCATTGAAGTGGTCTGGGTGTAGTATCCCAGCACCCTTAACCCTGAGCAGGTAATTATTGCAGTTTTTAATAAACTGCAATAATCACCTGCCAGGGTTAGCTCCTCCTCTGGTGTCTGTCTACCAGATAGGCACTAGGGGGACTTCCGGGTGGTAAGACATTGAACAATGCTTTCCTATTGGGAAATCCTAATGTAACCATGACCTTTGCCGCACATGCACATCAGGTGCCCCTCAATGGCTGAAGTCGGAAGGGGAGAAGTGAAGGCAGACCTGAGCCAGCATGAGAGACATCTGCGCTGGACCTTGGTAAGTGACAGAAAGGTGTTTTTATCCATTTTAATTGGGGGGAGGAGGCTTGATAGTGGGGGAAGCCATAGTGCCAGAAAAATGAGTTTGTTTTCCTAGAACTATAGTTTCCCTTTAATGAGTAATGCCAATGTTTTTCCAGTGTAGTTCAAAATCTACAGTTACGCCAGTAAAATGAGTTAGGCCCAAAGGAACTGGACGTCAAAGAATATAATTGTACTTATTCCAGTCTCAAATGGAACACTTGCTACATTGGTATAACTCAACTCCAGAATAGTCCTTAGAGCCTACAGGTTTATATGTGAAACTTTCAGATTTTTATCTGTTGTTATAAGTGATTTTTTTTTTATTATACTTTTTTTTTATTTAAAAAAAAAAAAAAAGACAGGCCACCCTTTATTTTAACTTTGAATACTACTAAAGTAATATTAAAAACATCACATTATACATGATTATGATTACTATAGAAGAATTCAGCACATTCAAGGTTGCAGTTTTTCTGCTTTAATGATGTATCCGGAGCAGCTTTCTCTTACTTGCAAATTACTATTCATTACCTTCTGCAAAAGTTCAAACCGAAATGTTGTCTTCCCTCTTTAAATTTGTACTGTTAATGTGTGCTTGTTTCATTAGTAGCCACATTTGTACGAAGAATAATTGTCTCTTTGTTTGCAATTATGTCACCTAGGTAATCCTTTCATGGTTTCCATTATCTTGTAGAGTTTCTGAAAAGCATACAGAGTCCAAAGAAAAACAGCTTAGATTGGGCTGTCTTTTCTGACCCGCAAAATAATGCTAATAATGAACTGTTTTTAACAAAATTAAAAGCATAAATTGTAAGTCTAGCACAAAACACTGGGTATGAAGTTGTACTTTTTACCTACCGATAAAATCACTTTCCATCATTTTCTCCATCTACTTTATTTTCCAATAATAATAAAAAAAAACACAACTACAGCTTTTAACTCTTTAATCACCATATAATCTTGAAGTATAGTACAAGCTTAAGACATTCTCTTTAAAGCAACAGCTTTATATTTCTTCACATTTTTTCTTATGTGGTGTATTAAATTATCAAACAGATGGGGTTAGTCATGTAGGAGTTTGCTCACTAAACACTGAATTGCAGTAAACTGGAAACCAGATTGGTGAAAACTGTAGACTAAAATATCTGTGCTGTGGCCATATATATATATATATATACACATATATATTTCCCCCCAGTTTTGCACTGTTTCACTGGATTGTGCATATTTATGTTAAAGGGACACTCTACACACTATAACCATCTCATTGAATTGGTTATAATGCTTGGGGTCCTTCTATTCAGTTTTAAACTATTTTCAAACAGTTTGCCACTAAATCAAAATCCCTGGCCATCCAAAGTCCACCCAAAGTCCAGAGGTATGGCTAAAGCAGAAATTATCCTTCTAGCCAAATTCATGCCAGCCATGGGTAGCTGTGGTGGGCTGAAAGCGATCGGCTGTCCCTCTCAGCCAATCTACGCCACTTATTTCTGCTCAGGTTAATACTTAGTTATCAGTCCAAGAAGCACAGAAGGAACACGCTGCTGGTTTTTCTACTTTAGTATTTTCATTTGCGTTTCCAGCTTTCTTCTTTCTTCTTGTTGCAAGCTTTGTAATGCAAGCGTGGGCAAAAATGTGTTGAACACAGCTAATTTCATAGAATATGCATCATTTAATTTTATTATTTAGCACCTAGTTCACACTCTTTGCACATATTCTCAACTACGCATGTGTGATGAATATTTAAGTCTTGCATCTTTTACTTTACACCTCATTAGCATTGTCTCACCTCCGAAACAAATCTCGTTGCCTCTTGACATGTCTTCAGTGGCCATTTGTTACTATATATCTGTACTCTGCATATTTTCCATTATTTTAAAACTGCTGACTATAGCCATGCAAAGCTAACCAAGAGCTGTTACTACTCTTGAACTCAAGTATGTTCCTGTTACTCTTTGCAAACCACTTTTGCCCCAAATGTCTTCATAATTTGCAATGCCATGAGACTGAGGAAGCATGGGCACATTTTAATCTCCGAACCTCTAGTCTACTATCATCAACTTGCCAAAAACATAGGGCTCATTTCCATGCTTGTTGGCAAAAAACAGCCATTTATCAACCATCACTTGGCATCGACCGTTTCGCAAATTTTCCAAATAATCGCTACTTCACCTGTATATTTTCTCAGCAATAGTTTATTCGCTAACCAGTAAATTGTAGTTAATTGAAAAATTAATTGCAATATATCATCAAAAATAGCTGAGTTTTGCAGTTTGGTTTTCTAATTATTAAAGAAACACTGTTCAACTGTGAAAAAAATGCTTAGTGTTTGTAAACATTTGACTTGCAACATTTCACAGTTATTTTTTTTTTTAAATACACAAACCATGCTTTTAAATAGGCTTCAGTGCAAAAATAGCTCTGTTTATGCAATAAATGTTTTTTTGCTTATAGGATGCATTGGGAGTTTGCCTTTGCTAACATGTATTTTAGACCACTTTACACCTAGCTGTAATAAGCGTGAATATGATTACCTTTGCATCTAGCATAGTGGTAATTTTTATCATCAAGCATGGAACCCAGGTGTTACTTAGTGTGTCTTTTATTCTTTTAATTTCTATAGAAGATGTTAAATCTTATAGAAACCTCTAATTACCAGTTGCTAATAGTGAAATTTTGAAACTTGGAAACAGATGTAAGTCTTTAACTTTACCAACAGACATTTTCGAGATTACTGGCTTATTGGTAACTTATTGCAAGAGCAATAGAACGAAGGCTATAGTGGTATTATTATTTTATTGCTGTTTACGTAATGCTGAATTTTTATTAACTGTTTTTTCACGAGCAGTGAAAATTTTAAGTTTACTGATAAATCATGCAGAATTAATTTCTTTTGAAAATGCAGAAATTCACCTTCATTTTCATCTGTGAAAATTTTCCCAAACCAGCAAAGTACTGTATCAAATTGCATGTCATCCTTATTACATTATAAACTGCGTTACAGCACTCAGTGCTTTGTAGAATTTCCAGTGAACGCATTGCGTAAAATCTTTGTTTAAATCAGAAATGTTTCAGATAATGTTTCAGATAATAAATGTATTCAAAACAAAAGATGCATACTAGTCCCTTGGAAAAGGCACCTTGTGCCAAAATGTTGAGGGTAGGTTCATTGACTCTGTGTTCTGCTCTCTACTTGGTTTGGGTTAAAAATGTATGCTTCATGGTTTTATGTTTTGCAACCTATTTCACATTTTTTTATGTTGTGATCTGAAAGTGTTGTT